GTAAGAATATCGCGACGTAGGTATATTGGGACGTAGGTACTTCGGGACATAAGGAGATCGGGACGTAAATATATCTGGACGTAGGGATATCTGGACGTAGGCACACCTGGACGTAAGAATATCGCGACGTAGGTATATCGGAACGTAGGTACTTCGGGACATAAGGAGATCGGGACGTAAGGATATCTGGACGTAGGGACACCTGGACGTAAGAATATCGCGACGTAGGTATATCGGGACGTAGGTACTTCAAGACATAAGGAGATCGGGACATAAGGATATCTGGACGTAGGGACACCTGGACGTAAGAATATCGCGACGTAGGTATATTGGAACGTAGGTACTTCGGGACATAAGGATATCTGGACGTAGGCGCACCTGGACGTAAGAATATCGCGACGTAGGTATATCGGAACGTAGGTACTTCGGGACACCTGAACGTAAGAATATCGCGACATAGGCATATCGGAACGTAGGTACTTCGGGACATAAGGAGATTGGGGCATAAGGATATCTGAACGTAGGGACACCTGGACGTAAGAATATCGCGACATAGGCATATCGGGACCCAGGTACTTCGGAACATAAGGATATCGGAACTTAGGGATATCAGGGTGTAGGCACATCAGGACAAAAAGATATCAGGATGTAGGTATATCGGAACGTGGTGATATTGGGATGTGAAGACATAGGAACATAGCGACATCAGGAATTAACCCATTGACTGCCAGACATTTGTAGAGCGTCTTGCCCTGGGTACAAACGTTTTATTTTGAAGAATACATGAAATTTTACAAAATATAATTATATTAACCAGTTAAGTGCGTTCGACGTGTATACACGTCGAACCAAATTTCTACTGCGGCGCGTTTGAATAACGTATTCAGAAACTAATTGTTAGTTTTTTTAATGAATATAAATGTAATCCTTTCTCGTTTTTCGTAAAGTGTATAATAATACCATTTTCCCTGCGTTCGACGTGTATACACGTCGTTGCTTGTTTTTAATTCCGCACCCTGTGCTGATTTTTTGAAACTAAATTCCACAGTTAACTGGTTAAGTTACCGATATAATATTGTAATAGCATTTACAGTAATTTTTATTGAAAAAAAAACACTACGAGATAACTCGTAGCTGGCAGTTTTGATACACACGCTAACTACGAGATATCTCGTAGCTGGCAGTCAATGGGTTAAGAATATCCTACGTAGAGATACCTGAACATTGGAATAGCAGGATGCAGCAGTATCGGTATCAAGGCCAGTATAATAGACAGTTTAATACCAGTATAATACAGGGTGTCTCTTTCTCCCATTTCAGGGACCTATACTAATTGTGAGACAGCCTGTATGTATTATAGCAACTATTAGGTATTCTGAGTATTAGAAGTTAAAAAAAAATATAACAGAAAAGAATTAAACAGACCAGTGAGACTTGCATATACACGATTATATTCAATTTATAAGTCCAATAATTACGTGCACAATCCTCGGTTTCATTATTTATTTCAGGAAAAATATTTTTGCTCTATTTTCTGCGTAGTACAGTATAAACCAATGCAATGGGCGAGATGTTTCGAATTCAAAAATGAAATATTTTCATGTAAAGGTTTGATATGTTCGATAAATTGTCCATTTCTTTGACATTGTACTGTAATATTTTTACACCTGGAATGCGAGAGAATCGATCCGTGTAAAAACACATAAAATTCCTGACCGTTTCGTGTAACTCGAATTTTCTCAGTATGGCACGGAAAATATTTCATCTCGCATATTTAGGTATTAAAAAAAAGTGGGACACTTTTAAGTTCACCATGTTGCAAAGAGTTAACGCACGACGAAACAGATTATCCATGCGCGATAAATTTTATTACTTTAAAAATTGTTGAGAATGTTTCGCATTCTGTCGAATACATAATTCTCCTCTCTATATTCAAGTCTTTTATTTTGCTCTATTTTATAAAACGTTCAAACCATCGTTTATTTTAATTGCGCGATACTTTGAAATTTATCAAAACAATCAATTTAATGGTTAGGTTGTTGTTATATTAGGTTAGGTTTATTATATTAGCATTATCTTATATAATTATTTTTTCCTTAATAATTCAAAAACGAAGCTTCAAACCCCATTTTAGCGAAGAGAAATCTTATTCAGAATCGCGTCAGCTCCCATTTCAGGGACCTACATTAATTGTGAGACACCCTGTACACAAGATAAACAATGTCGACATTGCTCCTAATAGAAAAGGAAAAAAGTAATCCGCAGAAGTTACAATGAACGATTTATCGTTGCACATGGTCGAAAGGGTTGGTCATTTTCAAAGTAGAGGACAATGGAGTCAATGGAACACGCGTCAACTCACGTCTATTTGTCTTTCGGTGACTGTTATTAATCGTTCTTTTAAATAAAGCTCTCTTCCCGGCCAATTGTTTCCGTGGAACGCGATTCGATATAAAGTATAGATCGTAGCAATTCACTGGAATCGACTGTTCGCAAAATTCTTCTTTACTCCGGCCGAATCGTTCGCGGTTATTTCAAACTGGTCGTTATTTAATTACGTTCAATTATTCAGCTTGGCCACGTGCTATTCAACGGGAATAAAATCGAATTTTAAACGTAGAAGCTACTTTTGAACGTTATATTCTTCTGTATGGTTCACTAAATCGACCGTTTGTGCATTATTGAAAAACAATTACTCCACTTAACGTGTACCTTCCATTCATGCACGCTATTCCTTCACATATTTATATCCTCATATTTCTATATCTGCGAACCTCTGAAATTCCTACACACGTATTCTAATATTCCTGTAGGAAAGTAATTCAAGATTAATTATTCAGCGATTTTATTCAAGTATCAAACTGAAAGGATAATGACAGGAACAATTTGATTTGCAGCAAAATTTAATACATTCTTAATTCATGCATCACATATTTTATACATTGCATAGTATTCTGTATTTCTGCATTCCATTGTCATATCTTGACATTACAAGATACCGATGCACACACAGATGATATACCTACGTAGAGATCTGGGGATATAGAAATTTAATGATATAGAAATTCAGGAATACAGAGATCTAAGAATATAGAAATTTTGGGATGTAGGAATCTCAGACTTTAGAACTGTAAAAAACAAGAAATCTAATAATTTAGAAAGAAAACTGGAATCTGAAAATATAGAAATTTGCGGATGTAGGGATCTGTAGATACATGACCCGAAACTGCAAGAACCTGGAGCCCTAAAAATGTAAAAATGTACCAATACAAAAATCTACAGATATAAAATTCAAGTGATCTGAAACTTTCAGAACGCAAGTGTCAATATGTGTAACGCTTTTATTGTACCGCCATAGAAACACCAAAATTGGTAAAATATTTAGAGTCTCCGTAGACCTTACTCCGTTCCCGGTAACATTCGCGCAAAAATTTGAAATTCAAAAAGGGGCGAAACAGTGAAATGGCGAATCTGCATGCATTTATTAAAATTTCTTGTCCCATTTACAGCGTTTCATCAAACGATTTTTGATGTTTCTCGGTTGCACACAATCGTCACGTCAGCGAGAGAGCGTAAAATCGAGATCTTCATGAAGAACTTAGCGCTCGCATTAAACATCCGCGCTGCAAATAAACGGTTAAATTATACGTTGTTAAACGACAGACAGCGGGAAACGTTCGTCGGTCTATTTTTGAAGGTTTCTGCTCTAAAGGAAAAGGACGCTCTTGAATAAAACATATTCACCGGCGGGCTTGCCCTGGAGTCTATTCTTCCGGTTCTCTACGTCTTCTTCTCTCGACGTTCCGCTTTTTCTTCCCACGGTTCTTTTTGTCTCAAAGCTGAGCAACCGGTTATTCGTGGAACATGGCCCTTCTTCGACAATTAAATGTTTCGTTGTATCTGACAATTTAAACACCGCTTAATTTATATCTGATCGCGCGGTCCACGAAGGTATACCGTGGCACGTAGCGATTCGAGAAGAAATTTATCAAAGCATTTTGACGCTTGAATCGAGCGTGCTTGAGAGAATTCAGTCTCGAAAACTTCCGGAATGCTTTACAATCACGAAACTCACGTTCCTTCGTTTTCTTAGTCTCGAGCTTCCTTCCGTTCAGTTTGCTAAATCATGAAATATTTTCTGCTCCGCTTTTTGGATGTTTATGCTTTCAGACGAAAAACAAATTTATTAGGGTACATTCGGGAAATTCGTTTTGATTTAGCACCCCGAAAATCCTATTTTTTAGTTAAAAACGCTTCTCGTGGTCAGTTAACAATTTTTATGGTATTTAACTCTTTTTGTGCAGAAGCTCATGTCACGATAAGATGCATGCTTTATTATTGCAGTTCTTGTTTATTATCATTTAATTCGCTTTACTAGTGTATAATATTCGCTTTCAATTGTTATACATACTGTACATACGAAATTTGAGGTATAATATTTCAATAGTATGAACAAAGTGAGGTTATGTTGGCTATTCTTCAAACGAAAATAATCAACATCAAAGTCATCTTCTGCTATCATTTTTATGTTCGATACCAATATTCGTGTATACATTGATAATCTCTAACAAATACAAATCTTTGCACACTCAAAATGCTATAAGTAAAACATATTTGTCCTCATTTCAGAAATTTATGACTTTTAAAATTGAACACCTATAAAACTCATCCTCGTCTCATGCTAAATCAGTTTCAAGAAGTAACAGAACATTTGCTCATATTCCACTGGGAAAATAGATGAAGAGGCTCCATTATATTCAAGGGTAAATTCAATATTTTCCGAACATCGAGGGGTGCAAATTTATGAGACGATGAAGTACAATGATATTTTATGGCCTTCATCCCCCATATGTTTCAACAGATACCCCTCGCGAAACAACCGTTTGAACGATGCTCGGAAACCACTTTAATCTGCCCTCTATTTACAACCCTCTTATCAATGATATCTCTCTGATTGATGAGCTAATCGCGTGCCTTTTTTGTGCTCCAGGTTCTGACAGCCAGGTGTCGGATGTTGATGGACAACTGTATACAACGTTGTTGTATAGCAACGGGCCTGGGTACACGCAGCCGAGGAACATTTCACGAAAGTCCGCGAAGGATTCTATTCAGGTAAAGAAGGCTCATTTCCTCGACCACCATGATGCCTATCTGTTTATTGGATCGGAAAATGTCCGATCGAAAATATCGGGGGCACGTTTAAAAATCCATCACGCACTGTCGACGATTCATTCGCGAAATATTCGATGGAACTCTCCGAACTTCATATATTCAACCCTCTTGTCCTCGTTCACCCTCTTCCGAGCTTTCATTTACTCGCTTTCGCCCGTTTCAAGATCGTACGACCACGACAATCGGTTCATCTTCCGACCTGATAACCACCGACTTATCCACAAAGCATCGATTGTTTCATTGTCTATGTAGCTTCAATCTTTTTTATTATCGAAACTTTCCGACGCGCAGAGATAATATTTAAGAGTGCTTTTGAAGATTGAAAATATTTCTGGTAAAACTTTTTGAAAATTCTTCGATCTCGCTCGAATTTCGAGCAAGTATTTCTAAGTTTCTGAATTTTGAACTCGAGTTAGATATCAGAAGTGTATAAGGAGAACGAGGTTTAGAGTTTGCCTGGATCGATAAACACTGATTCGATCAAATTCTCAATCACGTTTCACCTACCCCTCTCTTTCTATATTTCTTCAGTTTCCTCCGTATTAAACGCAGTGTCGAGATTGCTTCTGATTCGATTTCTGACTCGGATGCTTCGCATATAAACTTCGCCGAAATTACTCTCGAAAAAAGTTCGAAAAATGACAAATACTATGAACTAGCACGAAAGTGTCAGTAAACACATTGAAAGCAGAAAATACTTAATTTCATGAAATTGTTACAACCCCATTTGTGACAATATAAGAAAAGTGTGCCGCAGTGAAAAAAATATTTATAATTTGAAATTAAAATTGAAACGAGTAGTTAAGAAACTGTAATAACTAAAACAGGAATTACGTAAATAAATTTTGTGCTTTACGCTCGTAATGAAATTTTGATCTCGATCGTGTTAATATTTGACTGCCGCTGATTTCGGTCGTTAAGAAGCACTCTCATGTTGCGATCGACCGATCAAACGTTTCACGGAAAGAAATTTTACCTCGGGTCAAGCAATTATGCGTTAATTAATGTGTAAATGTTCGGTCTTTCAATGGCCACGGTTCCCTTTGCCAGTTTGAAACCAACGCGATCCAGTGCCGATAAAATAATCTGATAACCCAGTTTCCAAAAAAAATGAGGCGTATGTTGAATCCACGCGCGAAAGGATTGGAGAAAAAGAAAAAATTGGAATGAAAAGGGAAGAATACTCGTGAAACAATGAGAGTTTCGCGTTCATTAAAGTGATCGTCCCCTTCGTAATGCATCTGATTGTTTCGCACAAAACGCTTTGAGCGTGTGAATATCACTCACGCACATTTCACTGTTACTATTATTCTCTTTTAATTATACCATCAGGCGCGTCGTTGACACACTTCGAAAAATTCTGTAATTAACATTGTTGCTTTGAACCGTTCGTCGGGTTACTTTGCAAAAAATTCTATGTTATTATTACTCTTTTTGGCGCATTGCTTTTACTTTTTGGGGGGAATAATAATAAGCAATACTGAGAATCGATGTAAATTTAGATTTTTTACTTGTGGCTAGAATTTGAAAATTTGTCGATTTGTAAAATAGTCAAGTTATAAATTGAGAATTTGTGAATATGTGAATTTTAAGTTGTCGATTTGTAAATTTTCTTGGTGGTAGATTTGAAACTTTGTCAATTTGTATATCAGTAAATTCGTAGTTTGTTAATTAGTATAATTTGTCATTGAAAAAGTTGAAAAATTCGAGTATTCCAAAATTCCTACATTCTCGACTTAATTTTACAGACAAAGTCCTATCTGCTTCCACGGTATACAAACACATTTCATTCTGTAAAAGAGAGCCTTATCTCCAGCTACTTCGCAATCACTTCCCTTTACGTTCGTGTTTGTCCACAAAAACATCCAAAAAAAACAACCAAATCGGAATAGCAATAAAAGAAAGTTTTGCGTAAATCTCTTAATAGTTTACGTCCATTTTTACGATTCTCCGAAGCTAACTGAGATAAGAAATTTTACTTCTCGTGATTCAATCGGAAATACATTGGTAAAAGGAGAAGTCGAGAATTTTCCAAATTACTTTCACAATCGCTGTTTGATTGATCAATTTTATCGAGCTGTTGCACGGATGGATAACTCTGTTTACATTGCGAATAGGGGAATATCATTTCCGTACACGTTGTATCGACATAGCTAAACGGTTCTATGGGAAGCAGTTCCGAAGGAAGGTTGAACACGAATGGCTGGATGATGGATGACAACTGCACCGCTCGGAGATATTTAACGTTCACTCTCGGACGGACAATAATTCCTCGGAATATCCTACTATCCAGGCCATAGATTTCGGGGACAATTGCGGAACGATCGTAAGAGAGCTACCTCTCTTGAGATTACCATTTCTTCTCTCTCATTCGACATTTTACGATGCCTCTTTAACTCTTTCTTTTGATATCTCGAATTCGGTAAAAATGATTTTACCCTCAAAAATTCTTCCTCTTCACCCAAAATTATATGCTTTAATTATTTTCTTCAAATAATTTTAATAGAAATTTTGCTTTTCTTCATTTCAAAGTTATTATTCTAAGATTTTTTTTATCGGCACTTTTTCGTAGATTCTTTTTAATATTTCACCGTAGTGGATCATTATAAAGTCTACAATTTTGGACATTTCATATTTTTGTGCACTTTTGAAATCTTTCTATGTATTGATTTTCACGTTACGCACTGACTTTATTTATGACTTACAAAACTTTACAAAGAATTTATCCATTTAAAAAATATATGCTTCCGTTAACAAAATTCCGCTGTAAAAGATACTTCCTTATCATAAATTATCCCCACAGCTTAATTTTGATAAAATAACTAAAAATACTCGAATTAGTAGTTTCATAAGTATACACTGATAAACTAATTCTTTCTACTAAAAACAAAATGTCCGTATTTAATTAAAAATATTTAAACAATGAAAAATGAATGGCTTGAAAAGATGACATACATTCAGAAAGCTTATGTGCTTTTTTACAAATATTTCAATTGACTTAATTCGTTAATTAAAAATAAATGAAACACAGAATAATTTGAAGCTTTTAATGCACGGACGAGATTTCGTAAAACTTAATATATCAGAAATTACGTAGTTTCCCGGTTAAATATCAGAAAAACCCGGATCGTAAATTTCCCAGTAGTTCGTTTTTAATTTCCATCCTTCCAGCGATCATATTAAATTCATTTTTTTCAGAAACTCATCTATGGAATTTAATTACAGTTTTTGTAAGTACGCAGAGAACAACCCAGCATACTTTTTATTACGGTAATCTGTAGAAATCGGTGAATTATACAAATTTTTGGAACGACGTAAAAAACGAAATAGGCAGAGAGATAACTAGTTTCCGTGGTCCTATCATTTACGGGACGCGACACAAACCAGACGCTTCGGAAAAATCTTACGATACGAGCGTCCTGTGAGTTGCACGTGTAACACTGGCCCTCTGGGCGTCGTGTCATAAATTATGTGAACTTTTCACGGGAGAACCTGCAAGAAAAAAGAGGTCCAGAACCACTTGAATAGTTGCAGGAAACTGCTGCTACCAATTTAGTACAACGACCTTGTACGACACCGTTGTTGAAAACGTAAAATCACTATCGTTTTTGTATAACTTCGATCAATAAACGAAGTATCACAAATTGTGGTACAACCATTTTTCTAGATATTGTATTATAACATATAAGATATTTCAGTCGACTAAATATCAACAACGAAGATTTTGGAAGTCGTCAATGAAAATTTCTAAACTCCTGTAGTCACAAATTTAAAAAATTCTAAAATCATCTCACTCAATTCTAAAGTCATTCTTCTTCAAGTTATTACATTTTTAAATTCTTCATGTTATAGATGTACAAATACAAGAAAATGTACCTTCTTAAATTTGAGAAGTTTTTCCAAACTTCCAACTCCAATAGCTTCACGTGTGAAACCAACATGTGGAAAATAAGCCTTCAGGATTTTTAGTTAAGTTGATTTCCATGTCAGGAGCATACCGTTGCTCTCCAGACGATTGGTAGATGTTCGCAACGTGTTAATTTGAACAAAATTTTATCTAAACTCGATAAAAGTTTCGCGTTGATTTCTAAGGCATAGATAAAAACGCGCTGGTACGCTAACGCCATTGTCAGTTTCCTGCAAACAACGATTTCCAGCATGCGTCAACCCTCCTGCACTTCGGGATGTACTTTCATCTGATCGCGGAGTTGAACGTGCCAAAGGGGTTCGTTGAGGTGGAATCGTGACGGACGACAAAAGTACCCTTGTGAAGCACCTTTCTTTTTCCTTTTCCTTCTCTTGCGTTCCTCCCTCGCGGCAGAACTGGAAAACGAGAACGGAAACGAGCGGAACGAATCAAAGAAGCAACACAGCCAGCGTCGAAAACATTACTTTCTGAACAAAGTGACAAGCTGGTTACACCAGAACGCTAGAGCTGCTCGTGCATCATAATTACAAGGTCGAAATTGCAGGCTTGCGAAGCTTGGTCTCGGTAACGAGGCCGCCGGCTGGAATTTCGTTCACGCCAGGAAATCGTGGTAACCGGTTGGAAATTTATGGCATGATATATCGCCGCTGTTCCGCGATTATTATCCTTTCGACACGAATTACGAAACCGTTCACCAAACTGTTTGATAAAGGAATAGTTCCGCTAGCACGGAGAAACTCATTCGTAAATCACGACTGTTTCAAAATCTTTCAGCTGCGCGATTATTCGACAAATTTCTGACTTGCAAAATTCGATAGACATTACAAAATCTGTATCTGAATTTCGTGATCTTTAGATTTTCAGACATTCAACTGTCGACTTTGAAAATGCAAATTTGGTTTTGATGACAATTTCAAGTTTATTATGCAAAGTTATACAGAAATTGCAGTATAATGAAACAAAAAATACATCAATGGTATGCTTGTCAGTGTGTTGCAGTTCAGAATTTAAA